CCTGCACGGCTCGTGGATGGCTGTTTTAGGGTAGGTACTGACATGTTCGGTACTCTGAGCTCACTGAATATCGTGCTGCTAAGGTCGCGCGACGCACGCGCGACAATGACGCGTAGCCAACGCAACCGGCCGCAAAAAAAGCAACTAAACTGCTTTACGGAGAGCATTTCATTTTCGTACGAGAAAGTAGATAAGACAAGAGGAAGCGATCTTTCGCCTGAAAATTCCCTACTTCCTGATGTCACGCAATGTCTTCGGCATCCATAATGGCAGAGTCCACTAGCACCGGTAGCAATTCAGGCTACTTGGACGATCATGACCCACAGGCAGCTACTCCCTTTTCCGCAACATCGGCCGGTGCGGTCCTGAGCGCTCTCCGACAAAAGACTTCCCCCATCTGGCTGCATTGTCGGCTAGCAGATGGCAAGACTGTTCCCGGGGCATGGGTGGATTCCGATGGCTCGCGTTGGTGGCATTGCCAGCCTTGCTTTGAAAAGAAGAAAGCCAAACGCTACAAATACTCGGGCGGGTCGTCCACCATCATCAACCACTTGCGCAAGGAGCATAACATCATGATTTGCGGCAAGCATGAGGCCAGCAGGGAGGTAACAAAACAAAGGCTTGGAAACATTGCCTCTTTCCTCTCTGGAGGAGCCTTCCATCCCAGTAAGAAACGAAAGGCGACCTCGGAGGAAGATGAGCTGGACCCAGACACCCTGCGTGAGCTCTTCTGCCGCTACACGGTAGCGTGCAGTCTACCCTTTGCTCATATCGAGCAGCCAGCATTTCGCGACTTGATACGTTACATACGACCAGCCGCGGACGACCTTCTGCCAAGGTCGGCTGGCACCATCAAAACGGACCTGAAGCAGGGCTACGATTGCAAGCAGGAGCTTGTCAAGCGAGCGTTGCAAAACTCGCTCTCATCAATCCACGTTGTGCCGGACAATTGGACGTCGCCAAACAGCTTAGGCGTAATAGGCTTCACGGTTCAGTTTGTAACTGAAGATCACGGCCTTCAATCGCTCGTGGTGGGAATAAAAGAGCTAGGTGGGCAGCACAGCGGCGAGAATATGGCCGAGGCTATCATGGAGTTCATACGAGAATTCGGAATCGCTTCCAAAGTTGGATACTTCGTGATGGACAATGCTAGCAACATGAACACCATGATCGACCAGATTTCTGACGACCTAGAGCGAGAGTTTAGTGTGTACTATGATCCTTTGCCCCATAGGCTTCGTTGCTTGGGTCACGTTATCAACTTGGCCGTCATGGAGTTCCTCATAGGGAAGAGGCCATTAACGACTGGTGCATATTTCGGACCGTCCACTGAGCAAATTGAGCAATGGCGAAAGCGTGGAGCGATAGGCAAACTGCATAACATTGTGACGTACGTCACATGGACGCCGCAGCGACTTTGCGCGTTCACAAATCTTACAGACGGCCTGAGGCTGCGCCGAGACAATGATACACGCTGGAACTCTTGGTATAAGATGGTTGAAACGGCCCTGCGACCCAAGGCTCGTCAGGCGATAACGATTTTCTGTGCGCAGGAACCAGCTCTGCAAGAGGATGCCCTCACTGCCTCTGATTGGGTAGTCTTGTCGGAGACTTACGAGTTTCTCGAGCCGTTTTACGACGCTACGATGGCCAACGAAGGAACAACCGCGTCGTCCATCGCCGACGTCTTGCCCACAATGGATTATCTACTCCACCATATCGAAGATGCCAGAGCAAAGACTACTATTCCTCACTTGGCCACGATGATGGAGACTGCTTGGGCCAAGCTAGCTGACTACTATGAGCTGACGGAAGATTCTCCGGTGTACTCGGCGGCGACAGTGCTGAATCCTTCTCTCAAGTGGGCATATATGGAGAGGACGTGGCGGGAGAAGGAGGAGTGGGTTGAGAGAGCTAAAGCTCGGGTGGGACAGCTGTGGAGGGAGGCTTACAAGTCGACGACGTCCTGTCCTGCTCTTCGGCAAGATCACGCCCAAGAGCCGATGCCGGCGCGACCAAACGGATACAAAATGTGGATGAAGGAGCAAAAGGCGACGATTTTTAACATGGACGATGATGAGTACGAAGTGTACTGCCGAGAGCCGGTTTTGATGACATCAGATCCTTTACGTTGGTGGCTGGATGCCGCTCAACGACGCAGATTTCCGAATCTTTCTTTGATGGCCATTGACATTTTGTCAATCCCGCCGATGTCTGCGGAGACGGAACGGCTATTCTCAAAGTCTAAAGCCACGATTACAGACCAAAGAGGTTCTCTAAATACCGAAACTTTAAATCTCTTGGAATGCTTACGATCCTGGGACAAAAGCGCGCTCATAGTCCCGTCCGAGGTAAGAATTGTTACACCGTCGGAGGTTCAATTGCCTGACAGAAATGGTAGTGCTGCTACGTCGGTCTGCCGGTACCGTGCGACGCGGCCGATGAAACTGGCCTGGGAAGTGACGATGAGATATAGGGTTGTTTTTACGGGGGCGTAGAAGTAGAAGGCTAGGAAGGGGCAAGTAAATGCATGGAAGGGTTACAACGTTTTTAGTGGGTGAGACTATCAGTGTAACCGCGGTCTGCGGTTCGGTTCGGTTTGAACACTCGGGAGAAACCGATAGTGCGGTTCGTGGAGAGCAAATAAACCGGCGGTTTGGTTTGTCGAAAATCTTTCAACCGGCGGTTCGGTTTGATCCAGTTTGTCGGACCGTTAAGGCGGTTCGACGTGTTTTCTCGAACCGGTTACACTATTAAGAGCGCTGC